TCAACTTGCGGGTTTTGTGACCTTGGGAACCTATGCATAGGGGTTGGCACACGTTTTCATCGTGATTCTCCGGTAGAAACTTTGGGGCACTCTTTGAGGTCCTTTGTGTTGGTTGAACAGATGAATCTGAGATTGTGTGACGCATATCATATAATCATACCCACGGATACTTGAGGTGACATTGGAGTATCTAGGTGACATTAGGGTTTTGGTTGATTTGTGTCTTAAGGTGTTATTCTAGTACAAACTCTAGGGCTGTTTGTGACACTTATAGGAATAGCCCAACGCATTGATTGGAAAGAATAACTTTGAGGTGGTTTCGTACCCTAGCATAATCTCTTCGTTCGTTCTCCGCTATTAGTGACTTTGGAGTGACTCTTTGTTGCATGTTGAGTGATAGTTATGTGATCCAATTATGTAAGTATTGTTGCGGGAACTTGCACTAGCGAAAGTATGAACCCTAGGCCTTATTTCCTATCATTGCAATACCGTTTACGCTCACTTTTATCATTAGTTACCTTGCTGTTTTTATAATTTCATATTACAAATACCTTTATCTACCATCCATATACCACTTGTATCACCATCTCTTCGCCGAACTAGTGCACCTATACAATTTACCATTGTATTGGGTGTGTTGAGGACACAAGAGACTATTTGTTATTTGGTTGCAGGGTTGCTTGAGAGAGACCATCTTCATCCTACGCCTCCTACGGATTGATAAACCTTAGGTCATCCACTTGAGGGAAATTTGCTACTGTCCTACAAACCTCTGCACAAGAAGAAGGTTGTGTAGTAGACATCAAGCTCTTTTCTGGCGCCGTTGCCGGGGACGTGAGTGCTTGAAGGTATATCTTTAGATCTTGCAATCGAGTCTTTTAGTTTCTTGTTTTATCACTAGTTTAGTCTATAAAAGAAAATTACAAAAAAATGGAATTAAATTTGCCTCATACGCTTCATCTTTTTAATATCTTTCGTGAGTATGATGGAAAGGATTATTGTGCTCAAGTGCTAGAAGAAGAAATCTATAAAATTTTTGGCACTAAATATTTGAATGATGAGCATGATTGCAATGTTAGTATGAATTCCTTGAATATCCATGATGCTAATGATATGCAAAGCCACAAGCTTGGGGAAGCTATGTTTGATGAAGATGATATTTTTTGTCCCCCAAGTTTTGATGAGCAAATTTATTACGAGGAAAGCATGCCTCCTATCTATGATGATTATTGTGATGACACGTATGCTTTAAAGAATAATGATAACCATGAAACTTGTCATCTTGATCTTAATTTTCAATCACATGATAGTTATTTTGTTGAGTTTGCTCCCACTATTATTCATGAGAAGAATTTTTCTTGTGTGGAGAGTAGTAAATTTTCTATGCTTGTAGATCATGAAAAGAATGCTTTATGTGATAGTTATATTGTTGAATTCATTCATGATGCTACTGAAAATTATTATGAGGAAGGAACATATGCTTGTAGGAATTGCAATAATATCAAGTTTCCTTTCTATGTGCTTAAAATTTCGAAGTTATGCTTGTTTTGCCCTCCTATGCTAGTTGATTATTGTTCCCATAAGTTGTTTGCTCATAAAATCCCTATGCATAGGAAGTATGGTAGAATTAAATGTGCTAGTCATATTCTTCATGATGCTCTCTTTATGTTTCAATTCTTATCTTTTATGTGAGCATCATTGAAATCATCATGCCTAGCTAGGGGCATTAAACGATAGCGCTTGTTGGGAGGCAACCCAACTTTATTTTTATTCCTTGCTTTTTGCTCCTGTTTAGTAATAAATAATTCATATAGCCTCTATTTAGATGTGGTTTTATGATTTTAATTAGTGTTTGTGCCAAGTAGAACCTTTGGGAAGACTTGGAGAGAGTCTTGTTGATCATGCTGTAAAAAACAGAAACTTTAGCGCTCACGAGAATTGATCCCATTTTTACTTGGAGAGTGCTATATAGTTAATTCTTTTTGAAGATGATTAATAGATAAATTCTTCAGGTCCAGCAATTTATTTGAGAATTTTATGAGTTCCAGAAGTATACGTTTGATTCATATTACTACATACTGTTCTGTTTTTGACAGATTCTGTTTTTCGTGTGTTGTTTGCTTATTTTGATGAATCTATGGCTAGTAAAAGAGTTTATAAACCATAGAGAAGTTAGAATACATTAGGTTTAACACCAATATAAATAAAGAATGAGTTCATTACAGTACCTTGAAGTGGTGATTTATTTTCTTATACTAATGCAGCTTACGAGTTTTCTGTTAAGTTTTGTGTTGTGAAGTTTTCAAGTTTTGGGTAAGGATTCGATGAACTATGGAATAAAGAGTGGTAAGAGCCTAATCTTGGGGATGCCCAAGGCACCCCAAGTTAATATTTAAAGAAAACCAAGAGCCTAAGATTGGGGATGCCCCGGAAGGCATCCCCTCTTTCGTCTTCATTCATCGGTAACTTTACTTGGAGCTATATTTTTATTCGCCACATGATATGTGTTTTGCTTGGAGCATCAATTTATTTTGTTAGGATTTGCTTGCTGTTATTTAGAACAATGTTTTGCATCTTTTATTTCAATAAAAGTGGCATTGATAGCCTTTACTATGCCTATGTTACAAGTATACATGTTGCTGTTTGAAAACAGAAAGTTTAAGGCTGTTGCAATAATTCTCTAGAAAAGTCAGAATATAATAAAATGTTGAAACCTTTTGCATATTAAGCTTTGATAAATTTACTACAGTGGGAATTTTCTTTCATAATTTTTGGATCTAGGGAAGTATGGATGTTGCTGCATTCTTTACAGACTGTCCTGTTTAGGAAGATTGCTGTTATGTTTGCATTGTTTGCATATGTTTGCTTCTTTAATGATTCTATTTGAGGATAGGACTATTAAATATGCAGAGGCATTTAGTATGCAATGTTGAATAATAATTTTAGTGATTTGCTACAGTAGAGTATGATAAGGTTTTGGCAATGGTTTATACTAACTTATCTCACGAGCCCTTGTTGAGTTTTGTGTGGATGAAGTTTTTGAGATTTAGGGAGACCGTGATATGAGAGGAATTAAGGAGACACAAAAGCTCAAGCTTGGGGATGCCCAAGTCATCCCGAGATAATATTTCAAGAAGTCTCAAGCATCTAAGCTTGGGGATGCCCCGGTTGGCATCTCACCTTTCTTCTTCAACAACTATCGGTTAGTATCGGTTGATCCTAATTTTTTGTTTCTTCACATGATGTTTTCTATTCTTAAATGTCATTTTTTTGCTTTGCTTGCTGTTTGAATAAAACTAGCGGGTGCACCCGCGCAATTGCGCGGCTAGAGTAGTTTTTGTTGTGTTTTATATTTAGGATAATTGATGTGTTCCATTTGAATATATGGATTTGAACATATAGTGTACGGAATTTCATAATATATTTTATTCACACCTTATTCATTTTTATAGCCTCATCATTCATATGTATTTTCCAATTTGTCTTTCTACTCTTATTTTTGTTTGGCCTAACATTTTGTTTTTAGTTATTATTGCATTAAATGACCTTCGTTTTGAATTGTTTATAGCAGTTTGAGAAATACTAACAGTTGTTTAATTTCCAGCATGAATATTGGAATGTAATTTTTATATATTTTTCTATGATTCAAAAATGTTTGTTGATTCTTACTAATCTTGCTGATTATCTATAGGTGAAAAATCTATAGATTTAGATCATATGATCCTTTGACGAACGATGTATAAGTTTCATCTATATTTTTTCATGGAAGTATAAGTTCCCTCCTTTTAAGAGCATTTTTTCACCGGCAAAAAAGAGAGCAATTTTCATGGTTTTTGATGTTTGCTCGGATCTGTGTATTCGATACGGAGGATTAAATATCATGCATAGCCGATACGGAGAATATAAAAAAAATATGTACCCAATCTTGCATAGTCGATGTATCATGCTTTTTTTTTAGAATTAGCCGATGTATCATGTTGGGTGTCATGCCCAACGTACTTTCCTGCAAGCCCATTAGAGTGAAGATGATTACCACCTCGTACAATTTTTTCTAAGTAAAATAAAACAGCCCATAGTCCCAGTCATGTACATAGAACTCTCTCTCCTTTCCCTGTCAGTAAAAAAAGAACTCTCCTCTCCTCCCGTACTATCCCCACCAGGCTCCTCATACACATCTGCCATTTCTTCCGATTTTCTCCGGCGATGGACGGCGTCGCTGTGCCCCATCAGGAAACTAATCCTCATGCTATCCCAGATCCACATCTCACTTCTTTTCTCCTGATTTTTCTTCCTTGGTGGTGGCGCATGTGGCTGGGTGAGTGCGTGGATCTCGGCGACCTCGTCGACTCTAGCAACGCGGTCATGGAGATGTCCAGGGAGAACGTGGGCTGCACTGGTCAAAGTTGTCAGAGCTGGAGGCCCTGGATGTTGGGGTTGAGGAGGCATCGAGGGAGGTGGCGGAGGAAGAAATATCAGCAAGACGTGAGTATCTTCTGCGAATGGCGGTTAATTCTTGCCCTCCTGCTATCCGGACTTCTACCAAATGTAAGTGTTATTGCAACCATATAAGTATTTTTGAAGTTGAATGATCTAGAAATCAGAATAAGATTTTATCTTTCCATTGCTAAACAACTTTTCGTGTGAAATCAGGAATAATACCACAACTTTCTGCCTGGAGAAGGGCACTTATACTTGTTCTCTGAATTGTGCAGTATAGAATACAGTAAATCACACATATGGATCTTCTTGAATTAAGTCTAACTAAACTTAGCAAGAGACCCTTGCATCTAATTATTTATTGAGAGTAACAAAAAGGAGGTTTAGATGCACTTTTACTGAGCTAGGCAAAAGAATCAGCTTCATGTGAGACATGCATGCGTCTAGCTCCAGGTTAAGTTTTCAATTTCAGTGATTTACGCGCGGCTAGTTTTCTTCTTCCAATTTCTCTTCGTGTACGTACCGGCGCACTTGGCCAGTGCGTGGACGTGTTCGTCGCGTTCTCAAGGATGTGGATCCTCGATGACCTTGTCGAGTTCGGCGGAGTGGCCATGGGGAGTAGCAATGAGAACACGGTGGCTACACTGCTCAACTTCTTCATGGCCGACGGCTAGAGGACCATGGCAGATGGGTTGTAGTTTATCCCAGTGGAGGAGGCTATGAGGGAACACTTGCTGATGATGAAGTATTGTATCTAACATCTGTGGAATGCAAAGAGCAGCAGTCAACTGCGAGATGCTGGTCTCCTCATTGTTCTTGCTGTCAGACTACTACTCCATAGTATTTTTAATTTGGTTTTAGCAAGAAATAATTTTTTCAAGGTGCCTTCTATCTGAAAAAATGCCTTATGGACCGGATTTGATCATATGTATGAATCGGCTTTTTTATTATTTTCTTAAACTGCAAAGGCCTTACCTTTTGTGTATTCACCTTCTTCATCAATTTTGGTATAGGTTGAGCAGAAGCTCGCTTGTTCAATTTTCTCAGGTAACTTGTGGTCACCACATCAAGTAACCATGAAACATATTCGAGTTTCCTGCAAAATTTTAGTGACCTAATAAGCAATTAATGTGATTAGATAGTGGATTTGCTTTGCGGCTAAGTCTAAATGTGAGATCATTTTTTTTGTCAGAATTGTCGCGCCAGGCAAAGCTATCGGTATGTACGACAGTAGAAAGGTCGGTGATATGCTTACATCCTCTTCTGCAATTATTTAAGTTACAAAAGCAAGGTATGTTACTATGTATTGTGCTAGCCTCATATAGATTTGGCAAAGTATAGTTTCTTGAAATTGTGAAATCAATCCTAATGTCTGAAACTCCGGTCTTGTATTATGTTCCTGTCTATCTGCAGATTTGGCTAAAATAGCATGTTTGTAAAGGAAACTACTTAAAAGAAAGCTATCAATCTGTTTTAGAGTAAGAACATCGCTAACATTCACACCCTTAATCTAATAAGTATCATTCTTATCCAAGTTGATATCAAGTACTCTCACTTATCTTGGTCGATACAAATAGACGGCTATACTATTTATTTCATAAGCTACTAATCTATTAATTATCTAGACAACATCCTTGTTCTCATGGGATTTTCTTTACATAATTCATCTTCATCTTCAAGCATTGTTTTTTTGGCTTTTGCTTTAATCTAAAATTGTCTATAAGATTCTTCCAAATAGTAACATAGACTGTTTCACCCTGTACAATCAAATATTATTAGTAATTGTTGCCTAATCTGACAGAAAAATTCCAATCAAATATATTAATAAACAGACTTGCTGATTGATCAGTATCATATCTAGGCTAATAAGTTCATCGGTGGTAGGATTGACTGAATCCCACATCCGCATTACTTTTACTTGAATGTTCTAGTTCTGTCCCCTTGTATTTAAGTCGCTCAACTTCCTTTATGCCATAGTGTTTTGCCTTGAAAATTAAGGGAACAATTTGTCAATTGAAGTATTTATGAAGATTCTATCCGGAAAAAAAAAATATTGTTAATAACAATTACCCAAACCTGATGATTCTGACCAAAAGTGCTTTGGCGTCACTTCTTCTGACGTCTATTGTTGTAGTTGGGCGTGGCTTCGTCGTGCATTGAGCGTGCTTTGGTGTGACTTCGTCGAACGTCGAGTGAAGCGGCTGGAGGTGGCTTTTTGTGTCTATGTCGAGTCGCCGGGTCACGTGTGGCATCTTCAAGCCGTCTTGGTTGCCAGACTTCTAATTATTTGGTGTGTGTGCTTCTACAGCCGGCTCTACTTGTTTATATATGGGTGGAGGTGTGTGGGTTGAGGTGGCTGAGACCGTGTGGAACAGCAGATCAGGAACCTGTCTTTTTTGCATGTATTGGTTCCTATTTTGTAACTTTCTCACGCGAGGTCTGGTTAGGTCTAGTCGTTGCCCTTATTTGTTTAGGTTTCCTAGTTGTTTACGTTTGACTTCTATTTTTGCTTCCTTGACATGTTGATGGAAAGTTTTTTTCCTGTGGGCTAGTTAACGTCCGGATGGAACCTACGTGCATGATTTGTACGTGGCATGTCTTACTACTTGTACATGCACATGTTTCTACGTAACGTTTTCATCTTTTAATCTCAGCCGTTAAAAGATAAAATAAAGGATCAAGATAATTTAATCTATGTGGACACACGTAATGTCCTGTTTGCCTTTTGTTTTAAGTATATAATAGATACCAAGATCTGGAATTATTAAATGTTATAGAGTCTTCACATAGTTGCATAATTATTCGACTACTTATTGATCTTCACTTATATCTCTCGGAGTAGTTTGTCATTTGCTCTAGTGCTTTATTTATATCTTTTAGAGCACGATGGTAGATTTGTTTTATAGAAACAATTGATCTCTCATGCTTCACTTAGATTATTTTGAGAGTCTTAAATAGCATGGTAATTTACTTAAAAAATCCTAATATGCTAGGTATACAAAAAGAATAATAAAATTCTCTTATGAGTGTGTTGAATGCTATGAGAAGTTTGATACTTGATAATTGTTTTGAGATATGGAGATGCTGATATTAGAGTCATGCTAGTTGAGTAGTTGTGAATTTGAGAAATACTTGTGTTAAAGTTTGTGATTCCCGTAGCATGTGATGAAGCTATGTACCTAGGGTAGGGTCATGGACCTGTCCAAACTGCCCTACCCAAGGACATCTCTAGAAGAAATCACCTTTCAATCGACTTGGAGGTGTTCCACTCGACAGACTCGAAGACACTCGACCAAGAAGCGGTCACTCGACCAACACCAAACCACTCGACGGCCAGGAGACCTAAAGGCACTCCGCATGCTAACGGTCGGTTATTAAGTAGCCTTTATGGTCATCATAGCACTTTATTAGGGGCGTTACCAGTAACGCCCGACCTTAATGTATTTAAAACCCTGCATAACTGAGGGCCGGAGGGGTCCGGCGAACTTTATATAAGCCACCCCCCTCCTCAATGTAAAGGGTTCGCACCCCTGTAAACCATACACACATAATCCAGTCGACCGCCTCCGGGCTCTGAGACGTAGGGCTATTACTTCCTCCGAGAAGGGCCTGAACTCGTAAACCTCGTGTGCTTACAACTTCTTCATAGCTAAGATCTTGCCTCTCCATACTTACCCCCCTACATTACTGTCAGACTTAGAACCACGACAGTTGGCGCCCACCGTGGGGCAGGTGTTTTAGCGATTTGTTGGAGGAGTTGCGATCTTTTCCGATCCGAATTATCATGGTTTCCGGTGGAGTTTTGGTGGAGGGCCGTGAGATCCGTCTCGGCGCGCTCACGTTCATCGCCGACGACTCCGCTTGGCTTCAGGAGGCTCCACTCGACGTGGACGCGCTCCCTGTCCGCGGGGCGACGCACTTTCGCGCGTGCGCCCGCGGCATCCTTTTGCGGCAACCGTCGACCCACTATCGGTCGGCTCCTGTGCTGTCCTCCCTCCCTGTTTCCCGTCGGCGCAAGCGCTCCGGTCGGTCGAGACTTCAGCGGTGGGTGAGACACACGGTGGCACGCCAGTCGGCCACCCCTCAAGTCGCGGCGATCGAGCCCGACGAATCCCTCTACGGCCTGTTCGATCTGTCGACTGGCTCTACAGAGACCGCATCCGAGTGCGACAACAGTGATCCGGCGGCGGAGGTTTTGATGGTCGATGGACCACCCAGTCCTACCGGTTTTCCCCGCACCGACGGGGGCGCGGGTGGAGGCGACCCGTCGCGTCCCCATGAGGAATATCTCCCTGAGCCTCTCACTTGCAGAGAGAAGAACTTCGTCGCCGGAACATGGATGCGCTGCACACTCCTATCATCGGAGAAACCCCCGAGGCTCGTGCCTTGGAGGACGCGCGCCTGGCAAACTTGGCTGAGCGCACTCGACTGGAGAACCTCCAGCGAGCACTCGACGAGCGTGTGCGACAACGGGTTCCCGAATACAGTCGACGTCAGCTCTTCCCACCCCCGCAGGTATATCGATCTCCGATTCAGAACTTAGCAGCTGCGGCCCGTATAGCAGAGTCGATTTAGCCTTCCCAGTCGGAGGCTGGCAGAGGCTTGTTGCAGATCAGAGCGTTACTCCGGGCAGCAGGAGACCAGAATTCCGCTGTTTCTCAGTCGCGAAACAGGATTCACAGCAGATCCGTTGCTGCAGACACAGTCCAGTCGGCTCATAGCCCAAGGTCGCCCCCGAGGCGTGAGGGACGTGGGGACCTGCGTAATTAGTACGGGAACCGTGAGCAATATGATCACCGATTCGATCGTAATGATCGACGTCGAGTGCCCACCCCTCCCCCGAGGAGCGGGTCGTATGCGCCTCGACAGCAGGATGACAGGCGCCCTCGTAGTGTTGGGCGAAGGATTCCAGTCGACTCCAGGGAGTCAGGCTTTGATGCGAGATCCATTCTCGTTCAAGGTTTGGTCGACAGGAACAGAGCTCACCGAGAAGGTCACGACAAAGATGGACCTACCAGCAGCAGAGCACATGTTTCGGGGCCAGAGTGCTTTAGTAGAGCCATCAGGGCCGCTGTGATTCCTCCCAACTGCAGGTTAGTGACTGGAGTCAGCAAGTTCACTGGTGAGTCCAAGCCCGATACTTGGCTTGAAGACTACCGAGTGGCCGTCCAGATTGGCGGCGGCAATGATGAAGTGGCCATGAAGCACCTGCCTCTCATGTTGGAGGGCTCGGCCAGAGCGTGGCTAAACTAGTTAGCACCCAGCAGCATTTACAGTTGGGAAGATCTCGCCCGAGTGTTTGTCACCACATTTGAAGGAACATGCAAGCGACCGGCAGGGCTGACGGAACTGCAGTCTTGCGTGCAGAAGCCGAATGAAACTTTGAGGGATTACATCCAGAGATGGATCACGTTACATCACACGGTAGAGAATGTTCCTGACCACCAAGCAGTCTGTGCCTTTAAAGAAGGCGTCAAGTACAGAGAACTGAATCTAAAATTCGGTCGGACCGAAGATATGTCTCTGAATCGGATGATGGAGATTGCCACCAAGTACGCTAATGGTGAAGATGAGGATCGACTCAGGAGTGGCAAGCTCAAGTCAGTCGCTCAAGAAACCAGAGGAAATTCCAATCGAAAACAGAAGCGGAAAGCCGAGCCAGTTGCTCCTGGGGAAGCCTTGGCCGTAACCCAAGGAAAGTTTAAAGGGAAACCCAAAGGACCTTGGAACCCCAAAAAAGTTAAAGATCAGGATGGAAATGATGTGTTGGACTTGCCATGTCTCGTCCACACCAAGAAAGATGAAGAGGGTAATTTTATTTACCCAAAACATACCACTCGACAATGTCGACTCTTGATCCAGCAGTTCCAGGGCAAGCAGCCCAAAGATAAGGAAAAGGAGTCGAACAAAGTTGAGGACAAGGAAGATAGTGACGATGGATACCCCCAGGTCAATTCCACCCTGATGATTTTTGCTGATGTTGAAAGCAAAAGTCGACTGAAAGTTATCAACCGAGAGGTGAATATGGTTGCTCCGGCGACACCCAGTTATCTAAAGTGGTCTCAGACTGCCATAACATTCGACCGGTCCAATCACCCAACGCACATCGCCACCCCTGGGAGGCAAGCTTTGGTGGTCGACCCAATTGTTGAAGGCACTCAACTGACCAAAGTCTTGATGGATGGTGGCAGTGGTTTGAACATATTATATGCTAAGACGTTGAAAGGGATGGGCATTCTGATGTCCAGACTCAGTACCAGCAACATGAGTTTCCATGGAGTCATTCCTGGGAAGAAGGCTGAATCACTCGGCCAGATTGCTCTTGATGTGGTTTTCGGTGATTCCAAGAATTACCGCAAAGAAAAGTTGACGTTTGAAGTTGTAGACTTCCAGAGTGCCTATCACGCTATTTTGGGCAGGCCGGCTTATGCACGCTTCATGGCCCGACCATATTACGTGTATCTCAAATTGAAGATGCCTGGCCCCAAAGGTGTGATCACTATTACGGGTAATCGGAAGAAAGCAGAAGAATGTTTTCAGAAAGGTTCAAAGATCGCTGATGCTCAGATGGCAGTGGTGGACCTGCAGGAATACCAGAAGACTGCAGACCTGAGTGATTTGTTGCGAGCCAAGAAGCCCGCTACAGAATTAGATTTTCAGTCGTCTGGCAAAACGAAGACAGCTCACATCCACCCGACCGATCCTAGCGCTGCTCCAACTCATATCTCAACAATACTCGACTCCAAATAGGAAGAAGCGCTCATCCAGTTCCTCCGTGAGAACTGGGACATTTTCGCATGGAAACCTTCTGACATGCCGGGTGTTCCCAGGGAGCTGGCTGAGCACCGCCTAAGAGTTGACTCAAAAGTAAAACCTGTCAAGGAACATCTCCGACGGTCCGCCATCCAGAAGAGAAAGGCCATTGGCGAGGAGGTGGCTCGGCTCTTAGCAGCGGAGTTCATCCAAGAAATCTACCACTCCGAGTGGCTCACCAACGTTGTCATGGTCCCCAAGAAGGACAAGTCACTTCGCATGTGCATTGACTTTAAACATATCAATCGGGCCTGCCCGAAAGATCATTTTCCTCTCCCCCGCATTGATCAGATAGTCGACTCGACCGCGGGATGTGAGCGACTGTCTTTTTTAGACGCCTATTCTAGGTACCATCAGATCCGTCTGTATGGACCGGACGAGATCAAAACAACTTTCATCACTCCATTCGGGTGCTTCTGTTATGTTACCATGCCGTTCG